AAACCATTTCAGGTGACTACCTCTTGAAGCTCATGGAGAGAATGCCAAGAGTGTGCAAAGCAGTAATCAGAGCAAAGGGTGGCTATTTTGAAGAAACTAGAATATAAAACATGTTTTCAGTTATTTCACCTTTTTTTGTTAAGTACATAACTCCACATGTGTTCATTCATAGTTTTGATGCCTTCAGTGAGAATCTACAATGTAAATAGTCATGAAAATAAAGAAAACGCATTGAATGAGAAGGTGTGTCCAAACTTTTGGCCTGTACTGTATATATATATATATGATAAAAAATACTTAATAATTCACTGATTATTATTATATTTATTTATTATTTGTTTTTACTTCTGTTTTGCAGGAATGGGTATGCTGGCTGATGTGTACAAAGATGTCGAGGAGAGAGGGCGTGCAATGGGTATATCCTTCACTGGTTTGGCCTTAGGATTGATAGGTATGCGTACAGGCAACTTTCAGAAGTACACTCAAAATTAGAGCTTTTCGGTTAAAGCAGCTCTTACCTTTCTTGCATTTCACACAGCACTTAGAAAAATTTGAACATCCACAACTCCCACCTCCCTCCAAAGGCCTACCCCCCCTCCTCCATTACGTCTATAATAGACATAGCCATTGGCAAGGTAACGTTAGATACAAGGGAGAGGAGAGCGAGGGTAATGTTACCACCAAGACAGTCAATTGCAACCCTGGAGTTTTAAAACTCAACCGGAGTCAGTGATGACTGATGGGTTTTAGAATAAGGTTACAACTAACGTTACTAGTAAGTGGGAACGTACAAGGAAGATAATGTTAATGTTTCAGAGGCTACACTACAGTAGGCTAATGTTAGCCATTAGCAACTGTATGCTGTGTTGTCATATATAACGTTATGAACTGAACTGAACTTCTTTATTTGTCATTTTTATGCGCAGCACAAAAACGAAATGACATTTAGCATACCCCAAGAAAAAAGAAACGACATTTAAAAACAACAACATATAAGAAAGAATATATAGTGCAATAGTAAGATGAAAAGGGTGAACATTTCACAGTCAAAAACTCCACATCCTGAGAGCAGAACTGTTACATGAGTGGTTGCATTTGGCCCAAATGCAATGATTGGTCGGAGTTTTCTTAGAACCATATGAGAATGGTATAATTATGAGTTTTTATTTCTGGTGGAATTCACTTACATTTTAGTGTGCCGTCAGCTTATTAATAGCATTTTAACCTAAACAAAGAAAAGTGTAAAATTTCCAAAAAGGTAAACGTTGCTTTAAATCAGGAAATGTGCAAAACTGCTTTTAAAATCTGCTTGATTATACAGCACAAAAATACGTTATAGCAAAATATAACTTTGTCAGTGTACATGTGAGAATAAGTGTTGTTTGATAGGCTTAAAAATGTGAACCTATGCTTTCATTATTTTTGAAACACCATGAAATTTTAAACAATTGTTTTGAGGTGTGCTGATGTTGCATAGCATAAATAAGACAGTTTGTGTTTCAACAAGACACATCCAGAATTATAAAAATTGGAGCATTAATAGGTTTGTAAAAGCTTTTGGATTAGAAGATGGCAATGTGAATACAATACTCTATCCAAATAAATGTAATTTAAGAATATGAATACACTATATATCATTACACAGTAATGATGAAAAGTAGCCATGCTTGTTTATTTGCAACATTTCACAGTGTCTAAAACAATTAGTGCATGCTGGGATAGTCTCCAGCTTCTCACAAACCTGAACAGAATAAGGAAATGGATGGATGTTCTGAAGATGCCTAGCAAAAGGGATTTTTTTACCTCCTTGTGTATCACTCAAGGTTACTTTAGATGGAAGACATTTATAAGCATGGAGGTTTGAATGCTACACATAAGGGTGCTTTTTCCAGTTACTACATTATACTTCTACTCTAGTCTTTAACTTTTCACTGTAACTTACCAGTTGTCTCTTTCATATGCTGAAGCGGGTGCTCCATTTGGCAGTGTGATGTATCAGTTTTTGGGGAAGATGGTTCCATTCCTGGTCCTGGCTGCCATTGCTGTGTTGGGTGGAGGTACTGTGGAATTTTTGCACCTGAGATAAGACACTTAACCTCTAAATAATCAAATTCTTAAAGGGATAGTTTGGATTTTTTAAAATGTGATTGTATGGGGTACTTATCTATAGTCAGTATATTACAGTACATACAGTAGATGTCACCAGGCAGTTTGGAGAAGTAGCTGACATGGAATCTAAGCAATGTATTGCTGTGGATGAGGGACGGCAGCAAAATGTATTTTAGCTAAAAAAAAAAAAAAAAAAAAGTCCTCTAAGTCATCTAAGAAAAAAAATCTGTAACAGTTTAAATCTGCAATATATTGAAAGTATTTTCACCCCTTAACCATTTCTTCAGACAGCCCATTATGAGGGGGAAAGCATTAACCGTTTCAGCTCCCCATCTTTACTCTCCTTAAAGCCACTGGACCCCATTGAGAAAAACAGTAATTTTGGCTCGGTGAGCACAGGAGCTGCTGGTCTGCCACTGCCTCAAACAGTTGTAACTTGTGTGTCTCTGTGAATATGAGCTAACCCTTCTCAACACCAAAGGCACACAATAACACAAACAAAATAACAAATCAAGGCAGCGGTAGACCAGCAGCTCCAGTGCTCAGCGATGTTAAGTCATGGTTTTTCTTAATGGGGTCTGGCTTTGAAGAGAGCAATATGATGGCTTCAGTTCCCCATCACAAATTGCTGTCTGACGGGAAGATAAGCGTTAAAAATACTTTCAATATAGCATACAATTAAATAGATTTTTTAGATGACACTGTTTGTAGACAACTAAAATACGTTTTGTTGCTGACCCCTCCACAGCATCAGATTGCTTAGCTCTCATATTGGACTCCAGCCGGCCTCTCCAAACTGGGGGTGTGCTGACAGACATCAACTGTACACTGACTATGGATAAGTACCCCATACAACCCCTCTTCAAAAGATCCAAACTGTCCGTTTGAGTCCCCAATATATGCTACCTTCACAACTATGTTTAATCCTCCTTAAAAGCATCAGCGTTGAACAGTATGTGGTGTTGTTCTGTTTTACCGTTCACACACAGGTTTACATGTCCTCATCTTCAAGCCATCGCAGGTGCAAACACAGGTACAGTGACATTATCATGTGTTTTAACATTTTCTGTATTGCTCCATGTGTATACTGTTGTTGTTTTTATTTATTTCATGATGTTTTTCATTATTCATGTTATTTTATTCATTTATTTATTTTAATGGCTGCAGTATGGGTGGTTAGCCCAAGACAAATTTCCCACCTGGTGGGACAATAAAGTTTACCTTCACCTTGACCTTGACCTTAAGTTAAAGGAGTACATCCTTGTTGAAAATTAAACACTGGACCTCATTCACCAATAAATATCTTCTGAAACTCCACTTACACAGATGCACACAAAGTTTCTGAGAATCACCAATGTTTTCTTGTCTTAGGTAAGAATAGACTCTACACACGCTCAAGAGCACACTAAGGCCCCAATCACAGAAAGCTAGCGGCTTGAGGCGCTTTTTTGTAACAGTTTCTAATGAGAATGAAGCTTTTTGCTTATTTTGCGTTGCGTTACATTGCATTGCGTTGCATTGCATTGCGTTGCGTTACGGCTGCCTGGCGACAATAAAAGGGTGCAACAAGCTTTTTTTTTTTTTTTAGCTAGTGGCATTAAAATATAAAAAAATAGAGGTGGTGTGGCGCACTTTCTGTGTGATTGGGGCCTAAGGCACATTTGAGTGCTGGCATGTTTGTGCA